CGCAACATAATCCAACATTGTCAGTCGCAACATAATCCAACATTGTCAGTCGCAACATAATCCAACATTGTCAGTCGCAACATAATCCAACATTGTCAGTCGCAACACAATCCAACATTGTCAGTCGCCACATAATCCAACATTGTCAGACGCATAACATAATCCAACATTGTCAGACGCATAACATAATCCAACATTGTCAGTCGCAACATAATCCAACATTGTCAGTCGCAACATAATCCAACATTGTCAGTCGCAACAACATCCACGCACGCGTTTGATATGTTTTAATTTTATGTCTGTTGTTTTTTGTTTGTTTGTTTTGTTATCTTACTTGTTGTACAGCAAAATATCGGGTACCCAGACCTCGTTCGGTCTAACAGCAATTTCATCGACTCCACCAAAGTCTGCAGGATTCCAAGTCAATCGTGAATTGTTCCATCGCTAGTAATATGAATATAGAGATCAGGATAAGCTGCTTTGATAATGAATGATAAAAATCACCCCTTATGTATTACCTTAACACAAAGTCAGCATTTGCATATAAGTTATATTTTTAATTAGATTTCGGAAGACTCTCTAATTGAGACATAATTGATACTCTAAAGATGTTTGCTTTATTTTTCGGAAAGTGACAGTAATGACTAATATGAAGAATTCAAAAAAAATGAAAGAATAAATGAATGAAAAATGAAAGAATAAATGAATGAAAAATGAATGAATAAATGAATGAAAAATGAATGAATAAATGAATGAAAAATGAATGAATAAATGAATGAAAAGAACAATTAAAAACTAAATACTAATTAGGGAGTTTTATGCATACAAACGGAAATAACTCTTGTACACCTTTGTTTCTCAGCCAATTGTAAGCGTGTGTTAGTCATGCGAAAGGCAATCAGTAATTTAATTAAGTATCTTACCTGTGAAACCCATCCATACATTCTGATGAACTGTGCCTTTGCATTCTGTAAGGAGTAAATGTTAGTTTTGAATAGGAAAACCGCGACAGGTGTTATAATAGACATGCAGCGAGAACCCTACAGGAAGTAATAGTAAAAAAATATATTGAATGCTTTAATGTTTCTTTTTTCCGTAAACATTTTAACAAATTTATTCAATATTGTTTGTCCCTTCTATCCCCTCCCTCTCTTCGCCACTTATTAGAGATTTATTTGTTGTTGTTGCGTTTGTATGAATGTCGAATGTCTTTTGTCCGCGGCTCGGCTAATAGCTAATGCAGTATTGCGGACATTGTTATCCCTTTCTATTAGAAATAGGAAGGGGACAAGTTCAAATATTCAGAAAACTAAACACTGATTGTCATGGAAACATGGATACACTGATTGTCATGGAAACACGGATGACGACAATAACATGTCCCCAGAAAGACTTAGTTTTAGGAAAAGACTAAACTATATCGGTGTTCTTACCACTTCAACAATATTGATGACAACATAACCAAATTCCACAATCACTGACTTGTTGTTCGACGATATAGGAATTGACCGAACTCTATTATTGCTCTTATTGAGAAACTTTTGGAAAAGTCGTTCTTGACCATCGACAAAATCCTTCTCTTCGGGGCTTTGAGGTTCTGCAGAAATAAAACGATTTTCTCTATATCATATGAAAACGCTTAGTATCATGAATGTGTATTAAATTATTTGGTGCTATTTTAGAATCATAATCACCCAATTGACAACAAACTAACAATACAGAATGCTTCTCAACGTCACTTTGCAACTCGGACATATTGAGGACATGAACACAATCGTAGCCAGCTAGGAAAACAAAAGATGTGCCTCTGCAAACGAATGTGATGTTTTTCTTGTATGTCGTGCATAAAGTCAGCCCGTATACAATTCTGTGCGTTAACATGTATATGTTACAAAGTAATAGCATTTTGAACCTTTTACGCCACTACTTTTAATTTTCAATGCATCGTGGAATAGTTTCTAGAGAAAACAAAAGAAATCCACCATGTTCTGTCCCAAACATATCCTACAATGCATTACGTATACGGTACGTGACGTAAAGGTTTCAGAGGTCTGTTTAGGACTATTTGTTGCAGCTTGTACTAGAACAGAGCTGGTACTGGATCAAGTGGTTTTTATGGCAAACACCAAAGACTTTTACACTGCTCTTGTAACTTACGAGCAGAATAGTGTACTATTTTCTCCCTGGGTATTGTTACTGGAATAAGGTATGGGGATTACTCTGGCCTTCCCCAAGCTCCTACTTCCCTCCCGATCACCCATGTAAGTACCATCAAACGACCAACACACATCCTAGCTTGGCATTCCTTTAATACATTATGTCGCAATCTCTTACCAAACTTTACCACAGGGGGCCCAGGCTCAACAGTTGTGTTGCTTTCACGGTTCATGTTCAATCATGTCTGGACAAAGACCTTGAGGACGGGTGATACACACGTTTTTGCGATCCAATAAGCAAGTTTGTCCAGTCACGGGAATTGAGCTTTATTGGTCATTGTGCGCGAGTCTTTGGAATAAAATTGACTCCGGGTTTTTTATTCCGGTCGGTAACCCCGAGTCATCAGAAAACGTCTCAACTGACTTTAGATTTAACTAGACGATCGAATCGATCGTGACGTCGGGCTACGATCATGTTTAACACTTATGTAGGCCCTAAGTGATACATGTATACTCACAGCAAGCCGTTAGCTTTTTCGTATTCAAAATATATTTGTTGATGTTATATACCATACATAAATTACATATCCCATCGCAAGTTAATATAAGTTATTTATTAGATCATAATTTTTTACAGAACTGAACTCTAAGTAACTTCTTTAGATATCATGTCTTTCTCAGTTTTCCAAAATAACTAGCTCGAAAATACGCTCTAAGAGCGTCTATAATATTCAATGCAAGATATCTGAAAGGCCATATAAACCATAGCCGGAAACGGTACAGTCTTTGCAGTTTTGTCAGTATCGTATAACTTTGAAAATTATTTTGATCGTTTGAATCATGTAAGATCTTGTGTTTCTGTTCTTTTTATTTGGTGTTTTTCTTGTATTTGTAATTTATAATTTTACAGTCTGGTGTCTGTACCATCATCAAACAGGTGTACCTGACAGTTTATATTTTTAAATTTGTCTAAGTTTTTCAAGTTAAACAATCATCAAAATTTAAATAAATTTTAAATATTTGAAAATTTTAATAAAGAATTAAAATGCTTCATACACAATATAGATTTTGTACAGAGTTCAGTAAGCACGTACACGTGCAGTTTTCAAGTTCAAACACATCGTCAGCTTAGAAAATGGCATCAATATTTTTCAGATGAGGTTTGATATTTTTTAGTCCATCTTATTTTTTGAAGATTTTGTGATTGACATCGAGCACTTGTTGTGTCGACGTAGTGTTCTTCGGTGTCGGCGGTAGAAAATGCCCACGGTCATTTCTGCACGAATCATCCGACAGCCTTGAATTATATACCTTATTCCATGTCATTTGGATGTTAGTCATTTGATTTTGTTAGATTTTCAGCTCTTTAGAGTATTTAGCTACATTTTAGACCCATTTAAAACAAATCATTGCGGCTCCAGGAAACTAAAACGCCCAGCTTAGCGCCTAGACTTAGTTTCAGGCAACAAAATATTCCATTTCAAGGCCACCCAGGCACATTTATTAGCGATAAAGCCCCACAGGCAACTAAACCTCTCCGTTATAGTGTCAGAGTCTTTGTTTCAGCCCGGCCTCAGGCAACAACATGCGGCACACCCACCGGCCACATTTATTGTTGATAAAAATCCCACAGACAACTAAAGAACTTCTCGTTAGAAACTCCATGATTTTGCCTCTCAGGCAACAAGGTATTTCATTTCAAGCCACACCAGGCGCATTTATAAGTGATAAGAACCACAAGACAACTAAAAAACTCTCCGTTAGAAACTTTACTTTAGCCCCTCAGGCAAATACATATTTCATTTCAAGCCCCGCCAGGCAAGTACGCACAATATGCACACAAACAATTCTACCACTGAGACTAACAAGAGCCTCGAAACATGGACAACCGCGTGCTTAGTTATAGTCCAGTCCCAGCCCCTTTTCGACCCGCTCGGTTAACGGTCCTCTCGCGGGGAAAAGGGTCCAGAAGAACTTGCATGCGCATGCGCCGCCATWCACCGCATATATACGGTGTCATGGCGGCCAAGGGTTTTTCCTCGTAAAGAGACGAGACAGCAAATGATAATTTAAGCCAATACGCGTAAAAATTCGATTCTGATTTCATATCAGCAGTAAGATATGCTCTCGAGTCAAGAGCGTTAAGACTTCAAACCAAAGTCAGAACAAATGCAGGGACGTCAACTCTCCCGGATTTGCCGGGAGACTCCCGGTTTCAGATCAAATCTCCTGGTCTCAAGATTTTAGCCCTAAATCTCCCGGACACGCACGATATTTTCATAGAATGATATTAATTACTAACCATCATTGTAGATTTTTATTTTCAAAGAAAACCTTCAATGAATTATGTCACGTTTCCTCGATCTTTCGATACGGAACGAAATACCTACAGGCGTTGTTTACGTATACTCGCGCATGAAAAATATATAAACTGATTATGCAACGTTATTTGTGACGTCATTCACATGGTGTGACGTCATACACATAATCGAGTCAATTTCTCCGGATATATAAAGCTCTGGGGTTGACATCCCTGAAATGGAAGCTTGGTTTCATCTGTCGAAAAGTAGAGATGAGTTCGTCCGTTTGAGTACTGGATTTGGCAAATGGCTTTTTATACAGTTTGTTTTCGTTGATATGCGACATCTTTCGTGGTTGCCGTTCATCTATAGTATTGGTGATTTCTCCTTTTATTTCTCTGATAAATGCAGCCAAATTTATAGTCGAAGTGAGAGACGGCGATTTCACCGACTACAATGTTTTAATGTTGATCCCCGAGAGTTTCAACTCCAGAGAGGTCAAGGACAACATGAAAACTTCAAGATAACATCGTATGTGTTGCTGTCGATGAAGCTCACTGCATCGAACAATCGTAATTATTTCAGTTAAATGTTGTTTGTAAATGTTGTGTTCGATCAAGTTTGCTTAAATCTTCTACAATCATGTAAATAAAAAATTCGACATTATCTTCATGTGAAAGATTATCAAGCCATTAAAAAAAAGGAAATTATTTTCCTCATTTGCAGTTGCCTTTAAGTTGAATAATAATAAGTTTTCCCCAACTCGTTTTTTAATTGGTTCATGCCGGCGCATGCGCATGCAAGTTCTTCTGGACCCTTTTCCCCGCGAGAGGACCGTTAACCGAGCGGGTCAAAAAGGGGCTGGGACTGGACTAGCATAGTTAATACTAAGAGGTTCTGACCCGTTCTCTTGCTGAGGGGCCTCCTGCTGAGGCTGTTCTTGTGGTACGTGGTGGAACATCTTAACCGCATTAACTATTTCTGCTACTACCGCCGGGTCTGGATTCTGAGGTTCTTGGTTTTCCATGAAGCTAAGGCACGATGAAGACTAGACGGCGATGGATAATAATGACGCTACAACGTCTCTCACAACGAGTGGAGCAAGTATTGGGGAATGAATAACATCCCTTTATATATCCTATTATCAATCCCCTGGGACCAAATTATCATATTCAAATGACTATGAATACGAAAATGCTACCCCCCACGATACTTCTAGGTTAAACTCAATTAGAATTTAGACTTTTTTAAGCTCTAATAGAGAACTAACTTACTATCAAGTTATATTTGAAAGATATTTAGAAAAATGAGTCTGCAAAGCTTTAAACTAGCGAAGAGCGTCTATAGGGCGTGTAAGGAGGGGTTTAGCTGAATTAATGTAACATCAGAGCGATATAAATTGTGTGAAATGACATGTTTAGAGGCCAGATGGAAAATCCAGATCATGTTTACTATCGAAACAAATAATTAGCTTGTAATCTCATTATGTTGTCGTCTTAGTTCTTATTAATATCGGATATTAATGATGATTTTTCGACTGCCTGACGTTTAGTCCCCGAACTAAACGTCAGGCAGTCCAATTTTTCTTGAAAAATACAGACATACCAGAGTTGTGGAAGTGAAATTTTCTAGCCCTCCCTGTATCAGACCGTCAACCATCAACCATTACCACAACAATTTATCATTGCCCCAGCAGGCTATACATTTCATTTAATATCTTATTAACCGAGCGCGAGGGCCGTACAGGAAGTTATGGACCGAGTTTTCGCTGACTTCTGGCAAGAGCACGTAGAGCGGGGGTCATAAAAAAGTGGAAAAAAACGAGGTTCCATAACTTCCCGTCGGCTCGAGCAAGCGAGGTTAATATAAGATATTTATTATATAGCATTTTCATTGGAAAATAGTAAAAAATAGAGAATCGGACATAAAAATACGTTTTGTTTTCGTAATTTTCTCGTCATTCAAAATAGAAAAAAAAAGGCTGAGAAACAAGAAGAACAATCAAAATTAAAAGAGCTTAAAACAAAAGAGAGAAAGCGAGCTTTTTTAATGATAAAAAAGTTTTTATCTGATCGTTTCATCTGGTCCGTACGGGAAAGTACGGCCCACTTTTTTAATGAAATCGTGCGTTACATCCTCGCTATATAATCAAATCATGTACGTACCTCCAAAACAATAACCTCGGCATATTACCAACATCATACCAAACACCGTTAAGTAAAAGCCTTTCTTTTTCGTCACCATATCGTAAAACACTGCGGAAAATAATAAGATGAATAAATGACCTCTGTTTTACTTACGAAACTGGGCTCCCTCCCCTTGATGATGATGATGATGATCTTTATTCATAGAAAGGTAGTTAACTAAGCGTGGAAAGTCCCCAGGATAGCAGGCAACCAGGGGAACTAGAATAGTGAATTGACAAAATAATCACAAATCTCATTGTACACATTGATTCGGTTTCGTTACCGTTGTAATTGTTTCTTAACCGTAGTATAGAATCACGCCAAAGGACCTCCAATAGTTTAAGTATCGATATGGGATACCCAAGTCCTTTTCGAATGCTATGAGATTGAATATTATATCTTAAAACGTGTGAAACAATTAAAAACATAGCACATTTGAATTAAATTCTTAACCCCGTAAGTATCAGGGAAATATACAAAATTTAAATTTTCCATATATGACACTGTGTGCTTTTGTCCTCTGGACATCCAATGATTTCAAAATTCAAAATGGCGGCCGTATAGTTAAAAAATGTCTATTCGAGTTGCATGTTCCATCATGACAAGTAAGATGAGCTATAGAATGGCTGCCCCAATATGCTTGTCACAAATTGCTTATTAACTTTATACAATTATAAAAGAATACGGCCTATGTCAGCCCACAGACACGTACAATGCCAGCTTTCTAAGTATCGTAAAGCTATCATTTCCTCTATCCGGTACTAAATTTATACAGACTTTTTGTCACTAACGATATATATAACTAATAATGAAAGACATCTTTTATCTAAAGCACAATTTTAGTACACAGGTAAATTTTTGTCGTATTTTGGGGCAAATTTTATCTTTTTTGTAGCATTAGTCAGTAAATTGGCATTCCAAGATGGAGTCGCGAAACCAAAGCAATTAAAAACATTTCACTTGTTCAATGTAATGTATGAGCCCTATCTGAATCTAATTATACCAAATGATAATAATGTTCAAAATAGCAAGTGATTAGCTTTGACACACAGGCGTTTTAATGTGAGGAATATGGCCAAATCAGTGAAAATGTTATTTCTTAAATCATAGTGGAATACAATAAATAAAAGAGCTGCCAGGATGATAAAGTAATTTTTGACCAACATCAGACTACTTCCATAGAAATCATCATTCTAATAATCGTTAAACTGTCTGCCTCTTTTGAAGCCGGGATTATTTGGTTTTGGCAGCAGGATTTCTTTCTTCCGTCTAACTGACAACCAATTAGTTACTATGCGTTCGATCTAAGGACGGCTAAAGCTGTCATTTTTCATACTTCACTTCTATTCTAACCTTAATTTTTGGACAAATAAACTTCGTTTGAAAGAAAAATAAATGAAATTATAGAAAAAAACTCACTTTTCTCTATGGACAACTTTGCCTCTTCATAGAAGTGAATTTGTTAAAACTATAAACTGGAGATTTTTAAGATTGGTCGAAAGAGAATTTCATCTCAGGGAATTCAGTTTGGAAAAAGAACATAAAGGATGAGTGGACGTAAAGAATGAGTTTCAAAAATAATAAAACGTACTTACCGATTTCTTTTTAGAGCTGTGTTTGTTTTTGTCAGCTTCTTCAATGAAACACTACTCGCCTATAATTTAAGTGCCTTCGCTCGGGATTTAACAACGTTGGAGCTTTTTGTCTAGAGTCGTTTGATATATAAAAGTCGCTGTAATTTGGTGCAATTAAGCCTTCAAGAGAGCAAAGGAAAACCCAGTCATAAATTAATTAACGGATTTTAGTGCTTTTAAAGCTGAAAGTGAGAGCAGTGGCGAGGATAATATTCAAATAATCAATCTTAAAAAGGGTTTCAGAATTACATGGGGTTATTGCAGTAATAAATTTACTGTTAAAAAAGACTAATTTCAGATTGTTTTCAGTAAATTCTCGTCAAAATATAAACGACATAAATGCGTTAAGCACAATAAAGTATTCATTCAAAAGAAAACTTCGATACAGAATACACGCGATATATCCATCTAACAATAAGACACATATCTAGAATAGGGCCAAGCCAAGATTCATAGAAAAATATTGAAATTTCAAATACAATGATATAAATCAAAAAAAGGAACAACTAAACTGACCATAACAACCACTTATTGCATTTTTTTCTTCCTCGCGTTGTCCGTGGATATGATTAAAACTAGATCTTCGACGATAAACCACTTTTCCAAGCTCACCTTCCTATGAATAAAGATGACATGCCATAAGCTTAGGACTATGTAAATCGACAAATTTCTAGTTGTTAAATTCAGTAATCACTTTCCAAACACGCCAACACTCCAGTATTTGCACAGCGGTTTAGTCCGCATATGATCTCATAACATTGTCCACACTAATGTGTTTTCATAGTTTTTGAATTGGTTGCCATTATCGTTGTTGATGACTGTCGAGGGCAATGCAATATCACTGGAAAAAAAAACACTTCAAAAAACGAGTTGAATCGTATTGAAAAACGCCACAAGACGCGACGAAAAGGACAACAATAAAAAACTCGTGAAAACGCATCGAAAAACACTACATAATATTATCAAAATACTCTAGAAAACGCACCAAAAACGCAACGAAAGCGTATGAGAAAACCCTCGCGAAAACGCATTGAAAAACGGTACATATATAAGTGTGTTAAAACACTTCAGAAACGCATCAAAAACGCTATGAAAAAGCGTAATGGTGATAGCAAACTAAAATACTTTGCCGTACTATTAACAAACTGTTTGACTTTGCTCTCACTATTAACTTTATTTCTCAAAATGGATATATTACTATAAACGACATTGAAAAGTGCAACCACAGCTGAACATTTCTTTTGTTTACTAAGGATATTTGATTTGACGTCTGTTGAAACCTTAAGAGCACATTCAATATAATCAGAAAAAAACATCTATACTCAAAATGAATTATTGAGCTCTCCAGTCATGAGGGGCTACTCGGATCTGATACGGAAGTTGACTTTCAAAGAAACAAGAACAAAAACTGCAAACTGTGCAAACAGTTAACTAATAATTTTATTGTAGACAGTGTACTAGGGGTGCTTTCCATTTAGGCAGAAGTGGCCGGCCAGTCCACTCTATTTAAAGGTATATAATGCTTTTTGTCAACATATTTCATTCATTTCGAGGTTTTCTGTGGAATAATGGATAGAATTTGAAAATTTGAATTTCCTAAGTAAATGGGAATGATATATAATGACATTTTCTCTGGGTCTGGCCAGCCAGTTCTGACAAGTGCGCACTAGAAAGCGCACTAGATATACATTTACTAACACATTAGTATTACATTTTCATTTTTTTTTAAGGAGAAACATAAAGTTTTACAACGCGACTCTTATTGTTGAAGGTTATTATATTTGAACTTAATCTCTTTTCCTGGTAAACAACACATATAACTCATAAATGAAAGTGTGAGGATACATTTAATTAAAAGAAAAACAACAACAAAAACAACAACAAACGGAGTGTCTACACGTCAGGCAATCGAGTTTTCATGAAAACGATAGAACAACGATATTTCAAGCAATAGAACAAGAGAAATGAAAAAAAAAAAACACGAAATAATACTGTAAAAAGTCCGAAATAATAGTGTCAGAYTGCATGACGTTTTAGACAAAAATACCCGCAAGATATCTATGAATATTAAAGCAGTTCACACCACAACACAAGCAGAAGCACAAGAATGGAAATGCAAACAGAAGCAGATTAAATGTAAGAAAATAAAATCTTTTCCATTTCCTTATGTTTCTGCGACTTCTCCTTGTGCTCATGTTAAAGACTATGAACTAGCCAAACAAGCTCATCTTTTACGTCAATTGTGAACCATTTTTTTCTTCTTTTGTCAAAGTGTTAATTTGTTATGTCTAAACCAAAAGCAGCATGTCTTTATTTCGGGTATGAAGAATTTTTTAAGGTTTTAACTTATTCCGCCGCAAACAATTATCAGAATTAAAGATCCGTCATTTTCTTCAAACATTCTCTTTTTGTAATTTTTGTTATGCTTTGTTTTTATTTTTGTTTTTGTTATGATGTGAGACACACAGGAGTAAATTATTTATAACTGGTTTGATCTAATGCTTTAGATGATTTTTCAGAAGATTTCGCATTTTTTTGTATTCCAGAATATTTATGAATTCACATCTGGCAAACATTATGAATGTACTGTTTAGTGCATTTGTTTATCATGAGAAGTCGCATGAAAACGGTGCACAACGAAGAGCCAACTTAATTTCCGTATCAAGTATTCCGGGTTTTTGAATTTTTTTCCATTGATCAGTCTGTGTTTCAAAGAAATACGAACGTATTCTGCCGTTCCAGTCGAAATGTTAGAACTTTCAAAACTTGTTTCGAGCTATTGAAATTTCTCCATTTTTTTCCAATTAAAGCGTCATTCACAAGAGGGAAGAACTTGAAAATTAATAGAGAGTTTTAGATACGCGTTTATGGCGAACGCCAAACATCAAAACTGATCACGTGATCACGTGATCACGTGATCACTGTTTTTCTGTATTGACGCTCCGTTCTTTCGCGATTGTGTATAAAATAGATCACTTTTYCGTGCATAAGCGCATCACTATTCCTTTCGAAGCGTTTTTACGTTTGTTTGAAATTTTGAGACAAAGCACAAAAGCCAATTTGACGCTTGGCGTTTGCAGTAAACATGAATCTGAAACTCTCTAATGCTTTGACTGTTTAAAAATACAGCCTATACAGGTTGATTCGAGTTTAATATTCATTATATAGATTCCTCACTAGACTTCAGGAGAGTTTTCAAAATTCTTTGATTTCCATTAAAATGGAATCAACTTTTTAAGGATATAATGTTATCCCAGAATTTACATCGTTATAAAAAAGAGAGCAAGAGAATACACGATTGTGATTAGGCGTTTTTGCTGGTATATTATTCAGTGAGAAAGTTAGATCAGGTCAGATGCAACTTTTTAGGAAAATTATTTATTAATGTGCGTAAATTATTGAGTCTATTATCTATATGGGGCCTATTAGTCGTCCTCTTTCAAATTCATTGATAATTGCCTTGTGCCTCACTTTGTCATAAACATATCCTTGTCTTGTCATAATTATAACGTTTTTCTATAAATAAATTAAGGCACAACAAACATATTGCTAGTCTACAATCAATCCCATGAGATTCAATGCAAAAGACAACAAAAAACAAACAAACAAACAAACAAACAAAAATCCGCAGTTGGTTGCAGGAAGCTCTGACCACTCGGCCATGCTGTTTACTATGTTAAACAGATTTTGAAGTTAAATCAACAAAGCGCGCCTTGGCGTACACTTCAAAAGAAGAATTACGCAGTATATTTCAATAGTCCATGCCTGGTAAAAAAGTTCTCATTTTTCCGAGGTCTAAAACCTATTTTATTCTTCATTGCTGTGTCTAGATTCAATTCCATCCATGTGCAAAGGCTATCCCTAATGTTTTTAAAGGTTTCGTTCACATTTTTTACCAAGCTTTTCGCGCCAAGCCTGTCGTTGCTTAGCAACGTTTACTCTGTCTTGTTTACTAACTGGTAGACCCGGAAACATTACGATAAAATCGAGTCAGTAGTTCCTCAAGACAAAGTGCATTGTACTGTGGTCCTTTATACGTGTTGATGGATTGATTATTCTTTTATTCTAAATAATAATACTTGTATAGGAGGAGGCGACGGGGTCTGTTCTCCTAAATAATTGTTCTTGTACGAATTCTTTCCTGGGAAAGTGATTTTGAACTACATTGCTGACAATCTCACAAGCAAATGTGACGCCCTTTCTTCTTTAATATAATTTTGTTCCTTAAAAACGTTTTTAAGGTCAAAAACTGCTTATATTTTTTTCAGGGTCCGCGTGCAGAGTATCAAAAACGAAATTTGAGGATTTTTCAAGGAACATCATAATCATTCTAATTGTACATTCTTACCTCGGAATAGTTCCGAGATCGCTAGCGCTTCGTGATAGAGATCTATCTTTTTCAAGGACTTTTCAAGGACTTTTTCGAAATTTTTCAAATTTTCAAGGAGTTTCAAGTGCCCTTTAAAACGAGTTTTCAATTCAAGCACTTTTCAAGGATTTAAGGACCTGCACGGACCCTGTTTTTTATAGTTAGGAAATTTTTATTTTCCTGACAAAAATTCTTGGAAAGTATTCCTTGCCTGGAGAGGTCATTTTTCCTGAATTTCTCGCTGGCAAACAGTTGTGACTTACAGCTGGATGGGACATAAAAATAGACATATTTCTCCCAGGAACCCGTCGGCTCTTCTTTTGTTATGACGTCAAGAGTGTGTCAATAAAGTGGACGTGAATTTTCAATGAAGTATTCCATATCAATTTTTACTTATTTTCATTAATTAATGATTACCAACGCAAGGAGAACACTGTCTCCAATTAAGCTATATTATAGCATGGGTTAGCCAAGTTGTAAAAAGCTGCTGTTCAATGTCAATCACCGCTTTGGTCCTAGCTTTATTCTCTTGCTTTTCTCAATCCGTCAACTTGTGAACTTGTGTTGTATGCTAAATCAGTCAATGTTGATAGAGCTAGTGGACCTAATGTTTGTTGACGTGTCAGTTAGTCAACACAATTTGTAGAAACTTGACATCTGGCTAGAGCAATTGTTCATTCATTTAGTATAAAATCCGCCAAAAGAAAATAGCACTCACGCCATATTACAGTTCCGATTATGGAAAAGGTTGCATGCTTTTTGCATGAAACATGAAAGTTTTCGGATGAACGGATTCGGATATTTTATTTTTAGAGTTGACTTTAACGTTTTGATATTGTGTTGACCCCCTACGTCTTTCTCCTGGCAGAAAGCAATTTATTTGTTATTTCAAGAGTTCCCTTTACGTATAAAAGCAGGTGCCGTGTGAGGCTGACAGCTAGTGAGGGTATTTCATTGCGGACACGTGGACTAATAGCGCCGTAACAGAACAAGTTCAAAATTACATTTTAAATTTTCAGAACCCAATTCAGTTTCAGAAACCACGCCTCTCCGGGCAAAGCTACACTATTATAAGCCAAAATATACAGAGGGCCAATGATCACGGGAATAATGATCCAAGATTATTTATTATGATAGTGTAAACATGTTGATTTAGTTTCAGTCTCGATTATTTTTATGATTTTAAACGCAATTTTTCAGTCACCTAATTTTACATGATCATAGCAAAATGTATACTGACGTTTATAAAGAAACGAATTTAAAACAACAAAACAGTTGAATTAAGTATTACCAAACTATAGTTGATCGAACTAATTAGAAAAATGAATAAATTAAGAATAAAAGAAAGCGAATGAACCTGAATCAAAAATTCAGATGAAGCCTTTGTCTTTGTTTTCAAAGAAGGCGCTTCCACTATTCTAATTAGTCATAACTAGAAATAGCGCCAATTGGACATTAGTAGGCTAAACTATAGACTATAGAGTCAATTTCGTATGAGTGGGAAACGTACGTTAGTTACCGGACCTTGCCTGCACAATTTTTGTGAACCAATGGGCACTAGAATTTGGTTACATTACGATTACGGTCACCGTACAGTACCGTCCGTTTCCCACTCATACGAAATTAGCTCTATATGCATGACATCTTCTTCCTTAAAACTGACGGATGATCAAATGGATTGTATGGATCGGACAGTTAAAATCCGCCTCGAGCTGTAGAAAAGTGAAAACTTCTACTTGACACAGCGATGATAACATCACTATCATCATCGCCTACTAATCGAAAAAATAGGAATCCAACAACTAATGAAGAAATAAAACAAATATAAAATAAAATTTGAAAAAAAGAAGGATATACAAAATCTTATTTCAAGATGAGCGGAGCAAACTTAGAATGCACACTTAGAATGTATACATTGGAACATCTTGGTATCATACGATACGAGCAGATCCTGTTGACGAGCCGAGTCAGTCTCTAAACCGCCGTTTATTGAGCGCTTTTGTTATTAAAATTATACTGACACAACTGTATTCATGTTTTTGGAGATAAAGTAACAGGTGCCCCGCAGATTTCGAATGCATGGTTTACAGAATCATGCAGTTACAATAGTGAATTTTAGAAGTTTACTCTAATATAAGTGAACTCAAAGAGAACCAAAAACAACAGATAGGGACCCCACTTGGGTAACTTAACAAGAGCTTGTGAATTGAGTGAGGAAAACCCCTGTTAAAGACACCGGAGTTTTTTTTATTAGACTTGAACAGCTGTACTCTTCTCTATATGACTTGCATTCAGAGACTATATTTACACACGTCTATAATAATAATCATCATCATCATAATAATCATAATCATAATTATCCGCACATACAAATGTATTATACAAATAAAATTATTATACTTAAATATATTTTTGTAGTAATAAAAACTGAATAAAAATATTTTTCACTAACTCAAGATTTTAATGAAAACGCAGACGTTTATGTAGTTTTGCATGTTATTTTCGCTATCAGTGAATGTAATGAATATTAATTGTCTCTTTTTACGAGTGGACATCGATCGTATGTAGCTGAATGTAGCTATTTATGATGTTTCTTTATCAGGGTGTAGTCTAACTATTTTTTGGCTATATATTCGAATTACTTGTTCTGATTAATTGATAAAGGGACTTATTTGAGTCTTTATCTCACTTTCACTGGAAAATTCCATTTGGTTCTACGCTATTTCTGGAGAAAATATTATTCAAAATGATCAGTATCTATACTGTCGCAAATTTTCAAGATTTTGAAAACTATACCACCTAGTCCAGTGATGTTTTCACATACAATATATGTCAATCTGGATTTTAATATAGAGGATATTACATGGGTGCGCGGAGATACGGATTTTATCTTCGAGTGTTGAAATGATCTCTCACGAATGAGCGTAGCGATTTTAACACGAAAAGATAAAACTCGTATCTCCAAGCGACCATGTAATATTCTGTTTATCATATAATTACATATGAAAGTAAATTATGTCGTAAAATACCTTTTTTTCCCCTACTTTCACAAGCAAAAATAACATGTAACCTTTCCTGAATGGAAATTGCTGCTTATCGTCTCCTGATAAGTTTTTTTTTTTACTAATTTAGGTTTTGCTACAGATGGAAATTATGATTAAAAGAGAATTATTAATAGCTGATGAAAGAGTAGTTATTTAGTCATTCAATTGCGCTGGAGGAGCATACTACATAAACACTGTAAAAACAACTGCTTTGTATTATCCCAGGCTTAATAGAATACTATATATCATTTTTTTGTTTCTTTTTTAAAAATACTACAATATACTATGTGATATTACAGCCTTTTGCAAAAATTATGAGAATTGTCTAAATATCTAAATATCATAATATCCATATCCATATATTGTCCGGAACACGCGGGTTTGCTAGAATAATTCATTGTYGACATCGAGAAAATGTTCAGAACTACGGATAAGTCTGTCGCCAAAAAAAAAACTAAACTACAAAGACAAGGGACTAAGGGCATCGCGCGGGATTACCCATCATGCACTCGATATTATGATATTTAGATATTTCGACAATTCTCATAATTTTTGCAAAAGGCTGTATATCATACAATTATGAAATATCTATATTTCTTCATTTCGTTAAGTTGATATTTTCAATAGTGAAAATAACAAGGCATTGAGGAGAGTTTCCTGACCCAATATGGCAGATCAAAAAGTTTTACTCAAATAAGCTGGGTGATTGATTTGCGACCAGGCCTGCATATGAATTCGCCAAGGTTGTAAGCCAGTGAGCCCGTGCATTTTTGTTAAGCGGTCATATTTGAAAGTGTAAATAAAGGAAAGGGAAAACCCACAGCTCTCCTTTCACTCAGATAAACAGTACAAGTCGTGTTAAATTTATTTACATAACTAAACAAAATGATTATAGAATTAAACCTTTAAGAATTGAATGCTCATATGAAACATTATCCACCTTAAATACACACGTGTTTTTCAGAAGGGAATTTAGTCGAACTTTTTTCACGATGGAATTTTGTTTTGAGTCGTTTCGCAACATAAACAGTCGCTATCAAGACATTACACGAAAAACCCCAGTCACCGTTCTAGCTCTCGTTGTAAGGTCAAAGCTAGTAAATGTGTAACCGACCTGTTACATAACGTCAACCTGTTGCTTGCGGCTTATTGCCGAAAATGCGACAAAGGATGAACTACGACAGTTGATTTGTACCAAAAATATTAAACGCTTTAACTCTATTGGAATACGTGGAGCTAAGCTGCTCTAGCTCTTTCAGTGATGTTGTAGATACCTCAAAGCTTAGAGGAAACAAGAGCTAAGAAAAAGGATTTGCAATGGTTCCTCCTAAGATCATACTTTGGACTTGAATGTCGCTTCAACGACCTTCTGAAGTCTTCGTGAAGTCGGCTCGCATGCAATGGAGAACCCGCGTAGAACACAGACCAATTATTTTTATCAGGGAGGGGAGTCTTTTGGTATTAAAGAAAAAAATATTTGTTATTTCATTTTAAGATAAAATTCTATTTCTATAACGATAAATATTTGATTGACAATTAATAAAAGCTATTTTATAAAGATTTCCAATTTCTCTTTGCGTTTTAGCTTTTATTTATCGGATAGAATAAAATGACAGGTAGCCTACTCCACTGGGTGGAGTTTTGCTGTGCAAATTCCTCCCTTCGGGGGGTTATGTTTACAACATAAGCTTGTCAGCTTTGCGCTGATTGGCTAGTCGCATTTTCTCAAATCACCCAGAGGACAAGTTTAAAAAAGCTGGATCCTCGAGTCCTTGTGTATTTGCGAATTTTTCAAAGTCATATGAAAGCTATCCTACCGTGAATATAGTTTAATATTATTCGATTTAATTTTGTCTTCCTGACTGTCCTGTTCACAAATGATCTTGAGATTACTACTCTCTGAATAGTGTCAACGTTTGAACCGGTGAAACAAAATCAATAAAAGCCTGACTTCGTGACATTGATTAGCCTGTCTTAACTAACAAATAGTCATGCCGATAAAATAGTGTGAAATTCCTTTTGTTTCATAACATGTCATAAGCTTTTCACGGACTCAGTGATATATATATATACTATTAGTCAATTAATACATTCTAATAAATAATATTTACTTTGACAATTTTGGACAGTACAACTGCGTTTTCTCCAAACTGAAATAACTGTAAGTATATCGTACTAAAATGCTTTTACTGAAATCTTCACGAAATAATTTTTACGTGCTCTTTTCAAAGACTAGAGAAAGTAGTATAAATATTTTTAAGCTTTTGATTAATCCTTAATGAACGTTTTTTGTTGTTGTAATTTTTGAATCCAAGCACAACGCGGCCATTAGCTTTTAGAGGATGAGTAAGTCTAGTTCCGGTACGCTAATTTCCTTATTTCGCTCAGTTTTTACGAAAATGACAGCGATCAATGATGGTGAAGATGATGATGATAGTGTAGCCTCATCAGTTGTCATTTTTTTTACAAACATTGTTAGCTCACTATCAGGTAGCCATTAGCCGAGAACGGCCGTGCGATTATGTTCACAAATTTGGCAAAAAAGCTAGATTAAATTTCTCGGTCAAGACCGCGACAATGTGGATATCATTTACTTACATTCCAAAATAAAAGCAATTTCTTTGAGTAACATACATGCGTTTACGATCTATTAATAATTACCAATGTTTCCACACTTGTGTCTTTTTTAAGTGTAAGATTACGATGGGAAGTTTTTTTCGATTTTCAAGGACTAATTATTTGGAAATTTCAAGTGAGACATGCTAATGATATAGATTATATTATAATGTACTGACAAACGTGAAAAGGGAGATTAACTCTCGATTTTCAGATAGAGATGTTTAATGAATACATACTACAATGTTCAAACATTAATTCTCGCCCAATTTGAAAAGCATGCTATCGACTGCTCAAGTTGAGAATGACGAAAACATTAGTTGAAGATGCAGGTTTCATATTTTCACGATATGATTCATGATCTCAGATGGTCATTGTCAGAAAAGCAAAGGAACAAAGAGAACATCCAATAACCTTTTAGAAATTAGTGCAAGTTTCACTTCCCGATAATGATAAAAAAACAACAACTAGTGAGACACAAGATCTAAAATAACCATTTAACAAACAGACTTACCTTTTTCGGGTGTGCTTGCAATCGATAAGACAGAAAAGCTGCCCAGTGACAAGCACAACAGAATAATAATTCAAAACACTTGTAAACGTGTAAATGGATAGTTACTATATAAGTTTCTTGTCCAATAGAAAACTAGAATGTCTTCAAAGGTCTTATAATTACCATGGATGAATTATTTATTTGGCTTATAAATTATTGTTGATACAGATGTCTTATAACAGAGATGAGAATTAAGTTGAATGTGATTAAAATATAGTGCTGGTCCCCACGGCACCGGCAAGTTGATTATATAATAACCTTTTTTTTTTTTTTGACGCGTCATACAACAGTTTGTTTGTATATTTTCGTTTTATTTATTTATTTATTTTTTTGCTGTAATCAATCATATATACGGTAAATATCACTTATTAGCTGAGTAATGTGACAGCACTAGTGCAGCTAGTGGTCTTTTCCCATTCCAAATGGCATCGTTTGTGATACCACACATTATTAACAGAAATGAATACTATAGAATATTGAATTTATTTACCAAGGGTGACGAATGTTAATATACCAGAACTGACATGATCATAAAATCATTTAATTTATATTATACGAGAAATCACCTGATCACAACGATTGTCCATCGTTACTGCATTGGGTTTATTATAATTAACTAGATGTCACGTCTCTGTTGAAAACAAACCATACAGCTCTTAATAATGATTCTTTTCCAAAGAAATGTACGGTAAAATGCACTTATGCATTTATTGACAAAAGTTCAAACGGACGCCATTTTGTTCACAGGCAACCCAGGCTAATGTCTCATACCTTATAATGATGTCTTGCATACACTTAATGTTCAGGATTAGAACCTCATACAGCTGAGAAATCGATCATTACTTTGTTTTCTTCTTTTTCCCTCAACAACTGACTGTAGCTGCCACGCTCAAAAAGAACTTCGTCTTCCCGCGCATTCTCCAATCTCTCTGAAACTTCATTTAGCTATCGCTGAACCTTAACTCCAACCTCAAACATACATAGTCATGAGATATTTTTGTAATCAGAACAGCCAGCCTCCAAATTAAATGGACCGGTACCTTCCACGCCAACACTAGCGACATTGTCTTGCTTCCAGGAGGGCAAACTGACAGGTACCAAAGAGATACGTCATTACATTTATAAGTAGAAAGGTTTAGGAGGAGCCGACGGGTTCCTGGGAGAAATATATCCGTTCTTATGTCCCAGCCAGCTACAAGTCACAACTGGTTGCCAGCGAGAAATTCAGGAAAAAAAGAACTCTCCAGGCAAGGAATATTTTTAATTAAAGGAATTTTTCTAATTAAAAAAATGTAAGCCTTTTTTGACCATAAAAACGTCATATAAGCCTTTTTTGACCATAAAAACGTCATATAAGCCTTTTTTGACTTTAAAAAGGTTTGCCAGAAACAAAATTATTTTAAAGAAGGAAGGGCGTCACATTTGCTTGTGTCATTATCAACAATGTAGCTCAAAATCTCTTTCCCAGGAAAAAAATCGTACAAGAACAATTATTTAGAAGAACAGACCCCGTCGGCTCTTCCTGAAGGTTCTGGCTGGTGAAATCGTTAGCAGTCGTCTGCGTTCCCAATAATATAATTTATCATATAATTATCTATGAAATACCTATATTTCGCCATTTCGTAAAGCTGATATTTTCTCTAGTGAAAATAACATGTTATTCTTACGAAATAACTATTGCCATTTGTTCTATTCAGCCATTTGAGTCAAGAAACGCTTCTAGAACGTCTTCACAAATGTCCGAATTATTGTTAAAAAGGCCCATGTGCGTCCAAGAACCTTTGCGTGATTTTCTCACATACGAAAAATCCCTATCTTTGATTTTGAACCAAAAAACAGAAGCTTTCTGAACAACAGATCTTTTTTTTAAAAACAAAACAAAACCTCCATGCGCTCTGATCTGGGATGCAGGTAGGTCAGCTTTAATTTAAGGAATAAAAGACGAAATTCCGTGTTTGATACTCTGATCAAAACACGCGGGATGAAGGGAGAGCACGAGAGAAGCGCAGCTTTTCGAGTGCTCTCCCTACATCCCAAGTGTTTTGATCAGAGTATCAAACACGGAATTTCGTCTTTTATTTCTTTTCTAAAATCAAAAGAAAAAAAGAAATTTTTGACGTGCGCGAGCGTGTTTTGATACTGTAATCAAACATGGTTTTCGACCAATCACAGCGCGCGTAGTATCCTAAATATTTTAGAAAATACTTATTCTTAAATAAAAGAAATGGAAATCATATCATGCAGGTTTCAGATCAGCACCTTTAGTTGTGATGTAAAATGTAAATACCGTATAGCATGAAGTCGATCGACGATTAGTTATGAGAAACAGTATCAATTTGATGTAACCCACACAACCTCGACTTCTTATCTCGCCTATGATCACTTCCGTCTCTTCTTTGATGAGCACATTTGTCAAGATTTTGTGTCCATTTTGATCGTGGACTCATGAAGATTAAAGAAATCGTCAGCTAGCAGCAGATGTTAACAGGATACCATCTTGATTACGATATTTGAATACAAATAGCCTGTGTAGCTGGCGCACTTCCTCTCCTCCCCAGGCCCCTCTTAAAAGGGCCAGCTACGCAGGCTAGAATACACAGCAAGCCAGCGCTTTTTTCACTGTGGGATTTTGTCAGTAACATGTCTTGCAACGCCGTTGCGACACAATCTACACAGAAAATTCATAGCACTGTTTGACACGGCATTTCCTCCAGCAATTTGCAATATTTTTTGACCGAGGTAAGCTGGAAGCCAGAATCACGATGGCAGACATTCGACGCAGAGAAATAGCGCATGCTCTTAGACGCACGTGACTTAACATTTACGCGCGACAAACGTTGCTGGAGGAGTGCTAATCTATGCAGCGACAGAAAGTTCTTACACTGATTGCACTGTGCAATTCTTCCAGCAACTTGCCATTGCAACAGTGCATGCAACGGCATATAGCGCTTACTGGATTAGATATTTGCATTTATCATATTATCATCTATAAAAGACCTATATTTCTCCATTACGTAAACATAGAGGAATATTACATGGTCGCTACGCTAGCTCACTCGTGATCTTTTCAACACTCGAAGATTATGTACTTTTAGACTGAGTGGGAGGGCCGTACGGCAAAGTATTTGGCCGTACGGAACGAGCGCAGTGAGGTCCGCGTACAAATGACCGAGAGCCAAATATTTTCCCGTACGGCCCGACCTAACTCAGTCAATAAGCACTTTATTATATGACAGCGTTTTTTAATCTAAAAAATAAATAAAAGCGCGCGGAACTTCAAGGCGGGAAAATACGGGTTTGTACGGCCCTGTAGCGAAAAGGCGTACGGCCCCTTCACGTGACCATTTCCCAAAGGTTTTTTAAGAGCGCGCGTAAGGCCGAAATATGGGTCATATGATAAAAATTAGTATCTCCGCGCGACAATGGAATATCCTATATTTTAGAAATAGATTTGTAGTTGATGTGTGGGATGTTTAATATTACGGCCATTCGTTATTTGATCGAAAACCTCGATAAAATTACAGAAATTAAACTTGATTTTATTTTTTAGAATTATATGAAAGTATCAGTAAGAGGCAATGGAATCGCCAAACTACTGAGTTTAAAATCGTTCAGAAACCGAAAACCCTCTTATCACCTTTTTGTTATAATGAATGCAAGAAATGTCCAGACCACAACTTTATTTATTTACGATTTTTACCACAATCTCATTGATTTTTGACCCGCGTTGTAGCATTGATACTATGAAGGAAAGCGCGATAATATCCATTTTCGTGGTCAAAAAATTTACAAGTCTCGCGATGGGCCTGTGGTTTTGCACTAAAGCGAGGCAGAATCGGGTAACAACTTAAAATTATCCTATTCGAGCTTGTTTATCTTTTTGTAATGTCAGGAAAATGATTTTTATCGGTGAAATAAAGTCATAATTTTCAAACCTTCACTTGAGGACTACGATAAATGTGTTGCCCGCTTTGGTCTTAACCGCAAAATGGTCTATTGCCAGGAGGGAGGTTTAGTAGCTTTGCACGTGGGCAACTTTAGTGTTTATACTCTTGAGGGCTGCCCTGCTCGTAACTGATACACTCGAAGTTTATTGATACACTACAGCGAGTCCACGATATGCCTCGAATCGATATCGTAAGCACGTGATCACATCTAACTTTGCTGTTAACGTATACAGTTTCTGAAGAAAACCGAAAAAAAGGGTTATCAATCTACAAGTTGCGCGAGATCTTTTAATAGTGTTGTCATACCTCAACACTGCTTATTTTTTTCTTATCCTTTATTCCGTTAACCGCCGATAAAAAAAATTAATTAGCTATAATCGTTGCTTTTCCAACTTTTCGATATTTTTATTGAATACGATATTTCATACCGAAATCCGCACATAAAAGTGCATTTAAAACCCGTAAATCGCGTTGCAAAAATTTCTTGCGTTTTTCCGCAACAGAGAGATATCCTCGATGAAATGAAACAGATCTGTAGCATTTATTACTCGGGCTGTCCGAGGGGCAGAAACTAGAGGTAAATTAGTGTTATCTGCGTCGGTGTTTCTAAAGAAACAGTTGTGTAAAAAGAGAAATATTAACTAAAAATGTAAGCTTTTTCACCTACTTTTTTATCTTTTCACACTGTCCGAAGGGCGTCCGAGTTTTGGTCTATCAATTCAAACTATGTATCTATTATATCGCGTTTTGGGAAATAACAAGTAACCAATACAGCCCAATTCAAAGATATGTTTGACACAGGTAGGCTTGTTGCACAGTTCACTTCGAAGCCTTTTGACGACACACATCACGTGATTGTAGGAAAATTTAATGCAATTCCTCCTGAATTAACTATTTGTAAATCAAACCCCGGCAAACAAACTTCACCTGGTATCATTGACCTGTCAAACACGCTATGTGGCGTCCAGCATCACGGGAACGTGGAAAAACGCGAGGAAATTTCTTATTCTTATTGTTTGACTATGTATACTAATAAACGTGGGCAACTAACTCCAACAGAGTTCCTTCCATTCAGCTT